TATATATATATATATATATATATATATATATATATATATATATATATATATATATATATATAATTCAGCTCGATTGGTTATCATGAGCAATGTAAATAACTATGATTACAATTTCGATTGACATCAATTGGTTAATCGTCTTATTGCGCTTTTCGGTTAAATTTGCTTATATCAATTGTCAATTAAATAACCTTTAATTACATTGACTATGTTCAATCGTTAATCGAATAATCTTTAATTACTTTCGCTCGTTTTAATCGTTAATTTAACAGTTTTTAATTGAATTCCTTCAAATCAATTGTTAATTGAATAATTTTTAATTAGATTTCCGAAGTCAGTGATTAATTAAAATATTTTTAATTGAATAGGCTTATATTAATAGTCAATTAAATTCGATAATTAATTAAAAAAGTAATTAATTACTTGCAATTCTCTCACTCACTCACTCACTTCCTACCTATGAATGACGAACGGTGTCCTAATAGCGTACTCGATTGAACTTGAATTAATCGAGCCGGGGTTGATTAATGACGTCACAAAACTTTATTAGCCAATCACAAAATTTATACAAAAATGTTCGCCCAATGAACCTGACTTTAATAACCCAGGACCGATTAACTAAGGTTATATGTGTGTCTGCTTTCTCGTATATTTAGAGATTTAGAGTTTAGAGGTTAAAACAATTCTTCGAAGGAAATTCGATAAGATTGATTGCGAGCGAATATGTGTTCGAAACTATTTATTCTCATTCTCATTACGTCTCAAAGCGCAATATGTTTCAGAATTACTCCAGATGTATCCAAGATGTCCTAGAGAATGTCTTCCGGGACGTGCTGAGCACACTCAAAATAATCTCGTGACATTTCAGGCTATCTTGTATTAGGGACCTTCATACGGGTCAAGGTATCATACCGTGACGCGCGCGTGGGCCGTGTATCTAAAACCCTCTGATGTAGAAATACGAGACGAAAAGCAATTTTCTTGGTGGTTGTGGTCTTTCTTTATTGTCGATTCAAAAGGTAGTCAAATTCCGCGATAATTTAAATTGGGAAATTCCTGAAACGATGTTAAACTCTTTTCTTCGTCCTTCAACTTATCACAATAACAACGAAATAATCGTTATCATCTTATAAATCGAAGCGAAGAACTGATTTGTGTAAAAGGCACGAGAAAGAATATGAATACTTACTTTGAAAACGATTGGTTTGCGTGGATAAAAATCGATTTTTCATTAGTAGTTTGAACTTAGATTTAAACTCTGTTTAAATACGTCAAACATATTATCAGAATAGAATTTAAACTGCTATTGCAAAATCGGCTTTAAAGGACAATTAATACCTTGTCAGAAAAGCAGAAGCCAATCAGAACATGCGCTGATAAAAAAGTAGAAACTGTCGATTTCTGTCGATGGTGATTTCTGATTCTGCCTTTCTGTTTTTCTGTCGCATTCTGTAAATTCTTCCTAAAGAATACCATAAAATAATCTTAATCATAATCTTTTCTCTTTTTCTTTACATTGAAAGAGAGAGAGATCACATTTACAATGAATATTTGATATTACAACTTTTTTTTTATCTGAAACTTTGTTGAAACTTCAATTATGAGAATGACACGATACAGCCGTATATCTCTTATTGAGAAACCGTCGATTATGAGTAGCATTATATAAACTGTTATTTTAGTGCAAAATTATTTGAGTTTCTCGTATAAATAGTTAAAACCTACTTACAATTTACGCTATTAAACTACGAAACGCGGATCTTTTATAATCAAGGAAGTAAAGACTAAGACTAGCAAGAAACGGGAAGATAGATACGACGAAGTTGCAATAGCGTATGGAGGAAGTAATTCATCGCCCACGTGCGTTAATTACACGAGTCGCGATTCGTTTGATAAACGAAGAACACGACGTCGCAATAGCGACGTAGTTCTCCCTCAGTCGGAAGAGAACTTCATGTTTTCACTGTCGCCATTGAAGACTCGAGTTGCCATTCATTTGTTGCCGTTGTAGCTTTAAAGTGTAATTAAGATTGCTCATCGCAATTTTCCGCCTACACGCACAAAAGTACATCTAAGTAAATGTTATTTGTTTCGAGTACCTTATAAGTTTATATATCTGCAAGTTTATCACGTAAATTCATCACGGTCTTCCCTCCCATAAAATTTACACAACATGAATTCTAAATCTAAAGAAATTTAATATTTCAATAATATGTAAATTCAAGAATACGAAATCAAAACAAATTCAATTTGCATTCTACGAAGAGTTGACCCAATTTTCTCTTGGATACACTGAGAAAAAAATTTATTAAATTTCAAAAAATTTATAGTTTGGATAGTACTATGACGATATTTGTTTAAATTAAGTAATTATTTTCTAAAATTAGAGAAACAAATTTATATTTAAAACTTCTTTATTTTTAGAAAATAATTACTTAATTTAAATAAATATCTTTACAGTACCATACAAACAAACGTTTTTTTAAATTTAGTAAATTTTTTTATCAGTGTAAAGTTTTACGATTTTATACTATTCTTGTAAAGAGAATAAATTCTTTTTGGTAAATATAACGCAGTAAATATAATGGCAGTATAACGCTCTCATCTTTGACTTTTTTCAAACTTTGTAAATTTATATATTTTAGGGCATAGAATTGATTCCTGAAAACGAAAATTGTCGCCCATTTTTCGTTTTCTTGTTTTTTTTATTTTAATGTTCCTCCAGAGTTCTTGTGCTGTTTGGATTTAATCAAAAGCATAAACTCTGTTATAAAGTAGAATAGTTCATGCATATTTTTCTCTGCTTTAATTATATATACTATCTTATAAGACTTAAATAATTAAACATATTGACACAAAGTTAGAAAGTTTTATAATGAAAATTATCACTTTCCTACTTACGACATCATAAAACATTAAAATAAAAAACAAGAAAACGAAAAATAAGCAACAATTTTCGCTTTCAGAAATCAATTCTACGTGTTAAACTATACAAATTTGTGTTAAAGTATACAAAGTTTGAAAAAAATCCAAGATAAAAGAGTTATATTGTCATTATATTTACTGCGTTATATTTACCAAAAAGAATTTATTCTCTTATACTTTTTTTTCCGAGCTCTATATAAGGTAATTGTTTAGAATAACTATCTTCACCTCCGATTTTGATGAAAATAGGCTCATTCGATGCGTTTTTATTAAAAATAAAATAATTTGGCCAAAAAAAATGTCGCTCTGCCTCGCGAAGTGAGATATTTAGCGTTAAAGTTAGTCACATCCGAGGTTAAGAAATCTATCATCTGAACGTAATGCGAACTAGGTTTGCACTGAAATACGTTCAACAACGCACTCGTGTACATCCGCTTGCCCTATGAGGTCTGTTCTTTTTAGCTGCACTGATACATTTATTTTAAAGAAATGTCAGATCTAAATTTTAATGCGTATAAAAAAGTAATTATTAACTTTTATAAGACTTTTATTTTATATTATTAAAGCAGAGGAAAGCATACATGAACTATTCTCTGCTTTATAACAGATGCTTTATACTTTTGATTAAAGCAGAGAGAAGCATGTATGAACTATTCTCTGCTTTATAACAGAGTTTATGCTTTTGATTAAAGCAAAGAAAAGCCTAGTTCGCATTACGTTCAGATGACAGATTTCTTAACCTTGCATGTGACTAACTTTAACACTAAATATCTCGCTTCGCGAGGTAGAGCGACATTTTTTCGGCCAGATTCTTTTATTTTTAAAGATGTTTTAGTAAAGATGCGTCGAATGAGTCTATTTTCATCAAAATCGGAGGTAAGGATAGTTATTCTAAACAATTACCCTACATAGTAATGAACTTTTATGAAAATTATGACAAATATATTTTGAGGCTTTTATTAAGAAAATATTTTTTATTATTGATAACCGTTATTTGAAAGAAAGAAAGTAACCTGTAACTTTTCTTAGCAGTAGAATGATATTTTTCTGTGTGTATGTACTCACTTCTTTTTTCACTCTACAGTTTTCGCGTCAACGCTACACTGCGAGCAGTTAAATAGTTATTGCTATCGATTTCACCCGCGGCTAAGTGGCAACATGATTATCTGTAATTTCTAATTACGAAAATGGTTTAATTAACTATCGCAGATTAGCAAGCGTTCAACGTGGTTTGCTCCAATAAGCCCGTCTCTTTCAGTCATTTCGTCTGTTCGCTCGTATTCCTGTATGATTGTCACCAATCGGTTTGCTCCTGGGTTAATAAATTTGATTACTCGATACAGGCTTCATCCACGAACTATGCTCTACGGTCGATATACGTTATCGTGTTTTGTCATGTTCGTTAGGAACTGCAGAAAATCTATTGTGAGAGATTGTGTGAAGTTGCAGGGAAATATTTATTGTGTAGGGGGAAGTTACCTCTCTCTCTCTCTCTTTGTATTTATAAACCCTTTCAGGTTGACATTTATATTATTTTTTAAGCGCCCTACGCAATTAGATATAATTAGATACAGGGTCAATTCGAGAATAAAAATTCGAGACTTTTCGTGGCGTTTCTCAAACGTCGCGGAAATTCTAGAAAAATTTGAGAAGCGTTTAAAAGAGTGAGAGTAGTTTTCGAAAACACGGATTAGATATTGAAAAATATATAGATTATTCGGGAATAATTATTTTATAAAATGTTCAATATGGGAGCGTCACGTTTCGAACACCAGTGGATAACTGTTGTCTCGAAGTTATTGGTTTTTTATTGATTCCTTAATTAAGGGGGAGAATAGGAGTAGGTATGTGGATGAGCATGAGTGAGGTAGATGGAAATGTAAGCCAAGTCTCTTCCTGGCAATATAAGCTGAAGTAATAAAGATATATTGATTTCTTAATTCTCAGCTCATCTTCCTTTATTTTCTCGACACGTTTCTCTCCATTCAGACGTAGAAACTGTACTGGGAGAATAAGATATCTTACAAATCTTTTTCAACACACCTCACATTATCCAGGGTCGATACTAGTTTAAACTAGATTTAAGTTCTAACTCTGTTCTATACCTGATGTGTTTGCGAACAAAGTTTGAACTTAAATCTGAGTTTAAGCTATTCTTGAAAAGTCGGTCGTTTTATATCCATTTCGTTCGAAACGTTTTCGGAGCGCTGCAACGATTCGCTATTTCTGTCGCAGGTTGAACAAAAAATATTCGATCGAGACTATCACGAGTACGCGCGAAGGATCATGGTTTCGTCGGCGATATTTGGCGCCGCGGCCGGCACGGGATTAGCCCTGGTGGTGGCCATGACGATCCTAGTCTATCGATACTATGCTGTGAAGCAGAAGGGAAAGTGGAATTGGAGCAATCTCGATCGCTGGCCAGATCCACCGACCATCAGGAACAGCATCGCTGATGACCGGCTTCATTACCACCACTGTCATACGCCACCGCCGTCGCACGTGCTGGACTGCTGGAAAAAGCCTCATAAGAGTTACTACGCCGTGCAAATCGGGGTGAGTACAATCATGGGCTTGCCACCTGATTGGGAAACAGTCATCTACTAGAGGTGCTTCTTCGCTTCAAAACGAAACTTTCATTTTTGTTCAACGCCCCATACAGTACAAATGTCCAAAGTACATCCTAGAAACGTCCCAAAGATATTACAGATCTTTGGGAATTCTTGGGATGGACTACTGTACTGTATAGGATGTTTCTGCCTGTTCATCGCAACAAGAGGAGCGTACTTGTCGGAAACACGGGTTAGATACTGCAAAATAGACAATGCAAAGCTGAATAATTATTTTGTAAAATGTTCCATATAGGAGCATTACTCTTCGAATACCAGTGGATGACTGTTGCCTTGATTTTATTGATTTTATTGATTCCCTAATTTTTCCTAGCTCATCTTTCTTTATTTTCGTTGATTGGGTACTTCTCTCCTTTAAGACGTAACCAATTGGCATTGTTATTTGGCTTTAGTTTTATCTTAGATGTCTCTAAGACGTCTTTTAGACACCTCACTGTTATATAAGTCGATTTTTCTTCTTTCGTTTATTTTATTGATTCCCTAATTGTTTCTTTATTTAGCTTATCTCTTTTTATTTTTGTTGATTAGGCACTTCTCTTCTTTGAGCCAATTGGCACTATTATTTAACTTCTCATACAACATAATGTCTAAAATCGGGTCATAAGATGTCTTAAAAATAATCTTTAAAACGCCTTAACCCGTACCATGTCTTTTTAGTTAAGCTATAGGTACAATGGCGTCCGGCGGACCCTCCCCCCCCCCCCAAAAAAATTTCTGCCATTTTTAACATGATAATAAAAGATAGAAACAAAACGCTTTATAGTTCGAAAATAATACTTTACGAATATTATATTACAACTAGACATATATAATAACAGTCTCAGTTTTTCAGTAATCTAAGAGAAAACATTAACTGATTATAAAATGAACACAATGTGGACAGTGTTGAAATAAAATACACTGAAAGACAAATAATCGAAAAAAGAAAAAAAATTAAGTTTTAATCTAATTTATGTTTTAACTCGAAAAATTATAGATAAAAAATATAAACAAGTTAAATTAAATATAATATTAAAATCTTAGAGTGTTTTTAGATGCAATCGTTACAGATAGTGCTTGCACATTTGGTGCATACTCGTTCATTGCATCTAACATATACTTCTTTGAACTTCATATCTTTACTTCTAGGACATTTATTATATCTTACTCTGGATGGCAAAATAATTTTAGATCTTTCAGTTTCTTCAATTTTTAAAATAGGTGAAATTATTAAACGCAATGGCTTATGAATATATTGAGTTGTAAGACGTCTCTTAAGTTCAGATTCTACTAACTGAAAGGCAAGAGCTTTTACTCTTTTGCGTGAAGAATGAGTTACATTGAGCTGAAGATTAAGAAAATTATTTTCATAAAAGTAACGTTAACGGTACAATGGGGTCACTGTGACCCCAGACGAAAAACAAATGCATATAATTCACAGCTACTTACAAATAACTCGATGATCTTTTCTTCTGTCACACTGAAAACTATTACTCGAAAGATACTGAAGATATTAGCACCATACAGTGGATAGTTTGGGAATTACCACGAAAATAAAATTAGTTGGGGTCCCTGGGACCCCATTGTACCTGTTACGGGTTAAAAACACATAAATCGTCTGAAAGACATCTTAAAGATGATCTTTAAGACGTCTTATATCCCGATTTTAGACATTATGTTGTCTGGGTTTAGTTTTATTTTAAATGTCTCTAAGACGTTTTTTAGACATGTCACTGTTACATAGATGGATTCCTCTTTTTTTAATCGTTCAGCCCTATTATTAATGCATGCAATCTAACTGACAGAAGAGAATGAAAACATGTCGATAAAGCATTGCCTTTAGCCGAGAGTCGATAAAGCATTCTAGAATCTTGCTAGGCTTGATCCTTTGATCGCCAAAAGATAACGTTTGCACTTGGTGCTGTTACATCGACAGGACTTGACGTGTCCGAAGGACCCTGCAATTGTCGATATTATTCTCAGTACTGTCGATATACGATGGAAGCACCGACGAGGTAAGAGTAAAGGTCACCAGTTCTGGGTCGCTATTCCGTACGCACTTGTCGGCAACTTGCCGGTAAAAAGAGTTTTTAGAAAATATTTGAATGTAGGAGGTGAACTAAAGCTAATTGAAAAACGGTCACATTATCAATCATTTTTAATTGTTCGATATAAATACATACATTTAGCATATAATATAATGTTAATTATTTAGTTTACGATTATTCCGATGTTTTGTAGATGTGTATGTAAATTTATGAAGAAGCATATGCATTTTTGCGTTATCATCTGTCCTAACTTAACGCGAATTTACCGACAGGAGGTTATCAAGCAGCGAATTCAGCAAGCTGGCGATCTTTACTTTTATCTTGTTGACGACGGATATGATTGTGGTTTGATTAAAACAGTGTCGATAAAAATTAACGCGACATAGCGATGTCACATTTATTCGATCATTACTATCGCGAGTCCTTTAACAAATTAGCAATCGCTGTTACGCGATGTGAAATGAATTCGGTGTGCTTTTCAACTGAAGCATATTAAAAAGTAAAGAAATACAAATTGAATCCTTGTAATTATGAAATATAGTGAAAGTAATTGTCCGTGAACGCGCGTATAGAATATTATTAGAAGCAAAATTGCACTCACGATTTTACTCCGACAAAGGCCTGACGTTTGAATACGCGGTAGAATCAAGTACACATGCGATCTTGCATTGGTCAAGCGGATTTTAGTAATCGCACGCTTGTTCAGGAAAACTCGATAGTCTGTGGAAAACAAAGGAGCTTTATCTCGAGCTGTCAGTTTACATGATATTTGTTTCTCCGTCGAGTGTACATCGCACGCGAGGAGGCAATCTTCTTATGTAAAGCGAGACGCGCAGTAAACAAATCGATGTAATGTCGAAGGTTAGCTCGACTGATATGACCCATATTTTTTGCGAGTCCCCACTTTTCGGAGTCCGAGCCGCGACGGGAGGTCATACGAATGCAATTATACATTACGCGCGTTCACGCGCGCGCGCAGAAATTCGTCAAGTAGAATAAAATTCTTATCCCTTGCAAATGCGGATGATGCTGTAAATTAGATGGCAATGGGATTAAATATGATTACAATTATTACCGGTTATCGTGTCTCCGCGCACATAATCATGAGGAGCTCTTCGTCTCTAACAAGAACACAGAATCTGAAATTTGGATCGATACGGGCGGCGCTCGTTATCGTCACAGGTATCGCTACATTTTCACAGATACAGCTTGCGAAGTGCGTCATGGCGTGACGGCACTTGATTATTTTTGGTAAACCTCGACTCACATTCTTTCATCTTTCTATGTTCGTTGATATAGAGAGATTTAAGATAATTAATGCATTATCGCACTTAATTTATTCATCGCACTTGCGACATTGAAGCTTGCACGGCAGAGAAAATTAAGCTCGGATTAATCTTCTCACGATTCCTCAATGTGAGTGAGTAAGATCACCGAAACTTTCCATAAATTTAGAGAAAGAAATAAGAACTCGCAAACGAAGATATCAATCAAAAAATAGGAAAAGGGCAATTCGAGTTCAAGCACAGAACTAATAGTGCTATATACCATGGATAAAAAACCTTCCTTGTGTTAGGAAATCGTGTAATATTTATTGAACATGAATAATCAATATAAAACAATCATACGTTTCGGCTCAACTATGAACCCTCTTCAGTGATAATAAAAAACTCAAAGTTTACGACACGAACGCATTACAATTAGTTAAAGACCTGCGTAACTTGACATGAATGTTAATCGCAATATTAAAGCTGACAAGACCGTTACCGAAGTAATATTAAGTAGTTAATTAATATTGAGAAGTAGCCGTCATAACTATAAAAATCATAAAATAAAATAAAAAAATAAGTAAAATTGAAATTCATTATTGATTATTCATGTTCAATAAATATTACACGATTTCCTAACACAAGGTTTTTTACCCATATGGTATATAGCACTATTAGTCCTGTGCTTGAACTCGAATTGCCCTTTTCCTATTTTCCGTAAATTTTTCATCGCATTTTTCACTACGTGACACAATACTCATTTTTAAACTGTTCGACATTCCTGCCTTTTTCATACGGGACAATTTGCAAGCTAGTGAACCATTTTATGTAAAATGCATCAAAGACATATCGTAATTAGGTTAATGTACTGTGCACCGCGAGGTTACTCTTACCGGGAGATTACCCTTCGAGACTCTTAGATATTCTTCAATTTAAATATTGCCATCGTTATGCATGAGCACGCTCATTTCGGGGTGCGCCTCAAACAAATTATCATACATGTATTATGCAATATACAACTTTTATCATTTACGCAATTTTATTGAAGAAAGAGAAGAAAAAGGATGATATAAATTCGTTGAGATCTCCTGCGATTATAAAAATAGTGGTCTGAGAAAAACAATTGTTCTGTGTTTGGAATCGATATAACACTTTTTGCGCTTTATATCCATCGTGATATGATCGTGCACGGAGAAAAACAATTTTGCTCTTTTAGCAAAATTGTCGTTGCTACTGCATATTCGTAGTGACAGCAAAAAAATTTAGTTGACATAAATAATTTTACAAATTATTCGTTATCAGAGCAGTAGTTTCGTTGCCAGGATAAAAAAATATGTTAAGTGTATTTATCCTAAGAATCACATTAATTTGCTATTGATACAAAATAATGTATCCTTAGCAAATTTATTTGCTATCGGAGCAAAACTGCAACTGCTTATATAAATCCATCATTGTTCTTATAGCAAAATAATTTGTAAATTCAGCAAATTATATCCAGCAAATAGTGATTAATACTTTTAACAAGTCTTTTTGCTGTCCATATAATAACGAAAAAATTTTGCTAGACCAGCAGAAAATTTGCTGGGACAGCAAATTATTTTTCTCCGTGTAAGGAAATAAAATATGAGAGAGAGACAGAGAGAGAGAGAGAGAGAGAGAGAGAGAATGCAGCAAACAAAACTTTTCTTTTTCTTTTATTTTAGCACATCAAATGCTAGTACAATAATCCATGATGCGGATTGTCGTCATATTATATTAAATCACTATGCTATGTGCGGAGCAGAACATTTCTGCGGTTAAAAAGTGGCTGCAGAATGTAGCAGAGAGTCGCGCGACTCCCCCGGGTCGTAACTTTTATGGATCAAATTAAAAGGCGTCAATTATTTTCATGCTTATCCGTATAAAATGAGTCCGACGCAGTCTGGTTAACGTCTGGACGCGAATAGTCCCGCGAATAATCCCGCGAACAGTTTCCCGGAATTGTTATTTGAGATTTCAGCGCGGATTAGCAGTTGAAGTTTCCACCTCTGAACGGGAATTAACTTAATCGCGGAACTATTTATCGTCCGACGTCGTTAACGCACGAGTTCCGGTTTTCTAATTAATTACAGTTTTCTAAACCCGTGATCATCAATATCAGTAATCATGGCAACACGCAACGATGTCCCGATATCTTATGTTTGCCTTGAAAAAGTTCTCTCGCTCTTTATCCTGACATTTGAACGACATTCTCGCGATTACTCTTGCGGGCAAAGTAACGTGCCACAGAGATCGTAATTTTTTTAAATATCAAATATATAGGATCTTTGAGTGGAAAGAAGTAAAATTTGCTCGTTGATACAAATTTTCTTCAAGATTATGCACTTAAGGAAAAATGCATGGTAGTGCATATATAGATAACTATATAAATCACAAAACTAGGGTAGACCGAGATCTAAATTTCTTGACACGAAATTTCACTCGAAAAGTGAAGTGACGAATCACTCGAATTTAACTTTACTTATATGGAGTTCTTCACTCTGAATCCTCGAGTGAGACTTTTCTCGAAAATAAAGAGTGAATCTGATGTATTCCACTGTCACGAAAACATATTCATTCAAATCGATTGAAATGTTCGCTCATATAGTCAGAATCTATTCTAAGCTTGAATGAAACATTTATCCTTGCGATTTCGAGTGGCGGTAACTTCATTATCACTTTAAACAAAAATGCTGTTATTCTTCACACGTTTTGAATGAAATTTTACTCCAAGAAATTTACACACAGTACATGCGTGTTTATAGCGAAATTTATTATGTTCCTTATACTGATAATCTATTCTTAAATTACTAAAAAGATAAGGTAAAATTAAAAAAAATTGTTATAAAAGAAAGACTATAATCCCTATATTCCCTCCGTGTATACGGTAGTGGCAATTACACAAAGAAAAATAATTTTTCTCTTTTAGCAAAATCGTCGTTGCTACTGCATATTTGTAGTGACATGAAAAAAATTTAGTTAACGTAACTAATTTTACAAATTATTCGCTATTAAAGCAGAAATAGTTTCGTCGCCAGGATAGAAAAAAATTGTTAAGTGTATTTATCCTAAGAATCACGTTAATTTGCTATTGATGCAAAATAATGTATCCTTAGCAAATTTATTTGCTATCGGAGCAAAACTGCAACTGCTTATATAAATCCATCATGATTCTTAAAGCAAAGTAATTAGGTTATATAATTGGAATATATAGATTAGATAAATTGGAATATATAGATTCAGCAAATTATTATCAACAAATAGTGATTAGTACTCTTAGCAAATCTTTTTGCTGTCCATATAATAACGAAAAGATTTTGCTGGGCCAGCAAATTATTTTTCTCCGTGCAGCAAGTGTTTTAATAGTATACATTTCAGTTCCCAAAATATAAGTATCACATAGGAAATGGAAAGATAGATGAATTACTGTCAGAATGTCGACTTATTCCTCGGTTACAAAACTCTTTGGTGATTTCTAATATAAAATTCTCTCTGTATATGTTTCTCTGAACGCAGAGTAAGTCTTCTGATCACAAAATAAACCTATCCTTTCAATTACACGCGTATCTATCGCAATTACGACATATCGTCCGCGCGAAGTGTACGAACCGATTAATAATTAATTGATAATTAATCCACTCGACACTGCTGGTTATACGGCCGACGGTGAAGCGTGAGATCATAAGTAAGTAAGTATCCCCCAAGATGAAAGTGAATATATCCTGATATATCCCCCGCCGCGAAATCGTCCTCGTCCCTGAGGTGTAACCTGTTGCGGCGCACGCACCATTCTCTATCTCTCCCGCTCTCGTAGGCGATATCTATCTCCTCTTCCGCCTTTTGCCACCCCCCGCTCGAGGGTGGCGATCTCCCCCGACGTCCCTCGGACGGCACCAGCCACCACCTCCAGCCAGCCAGCTACACTCGGCGAATCGCCGTTTTCTGGTGGTGCACGAGCCCTGGCTCCGATCGGGCGCGTACACAGTACGGAGCGAAGTCAGTCGGGCTGGCCTCAGCACCCGCAGCACGGCGGATACCACCTGGGTGTCCGCGCGTACAGCCGAGCCGTGCCGAGGAGCGTCGTGTTCGTCGCGTGCATTCGCGTATCATACCCCGTCGTGTGTAAACGTGTGAGAGAGTGCGGGCTTGAAATTAATCGTGTGGCTGCCGCGAGTGATCGCGACGGCGCGCAGAGATACACAGAGCTGTCTAGCTAACGAGTTAAGTACCAGCATAGCAGCGACAGTCGAGGGGCGAGAGAGTCGCCAAGAAACGAGTGTGTAACTGATTTGTCATGATATTATTATGCCCCTCGCGAGAGAGATCTACCTTGCCTATAGCCACCTCCGCTCAAGCACGCACTGTCTGCCTCCACGAGCGACGACGAATCGGGTCGGCGTGGCGTCCGAGTAGTTGCGACCTCGACGCTT